GCTTCTTGATTAGATTTCTGAACATCTTTGCCACCGCATCATCCTTGAGGAATACACCCTGTTCAATCGAGCAGTCATTGTCGTACCATGTCCTCTACATTTCTGTAAGGTCACTACTGGAATGACTGCTGACCAGGCTGGATGTACTACCAACCGGACTGCTGGGCATGATGAACATGCTGCAGTGGCCTATGAACATACTGCAGTGGCTGCCACACATAATGCTGAGACGACTCGGCCTGAATCTACATGAGATGCTTTCTCTTGTTCATTGTTACCACCATTCCATACTTCTTATCGAAAAATTATGCTACTCTTGGGTTTTCAATCTTTTTAGAGGCTTTGTATGCTTAATATCCTCCTATAGGCTGCTGACTTTGCTGAGTAGTTTTTAAAATGACTTGATCGTGAGTCCTTTAAGCATGAAAGCTATCAACCTGTGGATGCTCTTGAGTAAGACCTCAATCTCATGATGTTCCTGCAATTAGGGCTTGCACTTCATGCTCAAATTCCTCCAACATAGAATTTGCTCAACCAAAATCTTCATGGATTTTTGATGCTCCAGTGTAAGATCTCCAATAGTAATGTGGTGTTGCACCCCAATAAACCTCTTCAAAAACAAAATTTCCAATTTTGCAAATGTTCTGATTGACATGTTAGGCAATTTTGCATACTAATTAAACATAATCCCTGAAAGACTGCTCACGAACTGACAAAAATGTAATGCCTCGCTACCCCCCGTGTTGCAGCAGCTTCCCCGAAAGTGTGCAACGTGTTGTGAGGGGTTTCCCGTTCCATCAAAATTTTTAAAGGTTGGTGGTATAAAACCTTTAGGATATGGGATGACATCAAACTCCTCCGGGTAGGGTATGTCCTTTGAAACTAATGCACCCCCTTTCGACTGGGCTAAGGCTTCCTTGCTATTCGACTAGTTGCTTAATGTCGTTTTCTGGCACCATGCTTTGAGTTGAATCTTCCTTTGGAAGCTAGTCTCAGTTGGCATAAGCGAACCCCTTTCTTTCATCGATAATATGAACAATCTCCAGTTGATTTATCTTCGAAGAAGCCACCTACTGTGAGTGCGAATGTTCTTGCATTATAATCATGGCAGTCATCATGTCTTCGATTGTCCTTTCAAGATGACTGATCTGTTCATCTCTTTGCCACTCATTCGTGATGTTCTTCTTAAAAGGTGGAGCATCACGCACAGATGATGTAGCTCATATCACAACGATGTTGATCATAGAAAACTCCTCATCCGTGTAATCTGATAGGTCATAATCTTTATCATCAAAATCTACTCTTCATTCTCTTGCTAGTTCAGTGATTTCAATTTTGAGCTTTCCCAATTTATCATCAACTTACTTCCCTTTAACTATTTTAAGATTAGTTAGCACTTCTCGAAGGTCTTCCCATTTTGTAATAAGTTCTGGAGCAACTGCAATGGCGACAATTGAAATTTCAGACTTATGCTCCGTTTCAAAAGAACGCTGTCCCAACCTTTCCAAAAGTATTGGTTCAATTACCCTAGGTATCCACTTCTCGATGTCAATGCTTTGAGACAGGGTGTCTCAGTATTAACATCAGCGCGTCTTAAGGAAGTGTGCTTCCTAAATTGTGGACCAAATAGCATAGGGAATGATCCCTTCTCATTACACTTCCTTAGAGGTTCTTCATAATCAATGGTAGGTAGCACTCTGACACCCAAACAAGACTTGGATGATCTGCAATCAATGGGTCTCTGAACAACTATAGTGACATCTACAACGATGACAATGGTAGCAACACAGTTCCCCAATCATAATCTGGTGGGAATACCAGGCTGTAGCGCCTCTTCTGGAGCTGTCGGGCCAGGCTGACTTCTGGAGCTTTCGGATGAGCTTGTCCTTTCAAAAACTCAATCCTCATCTATGGCGATACAAGACATCCAATTCTTTTTAGAAGCTTGGGAACAGAACAATGTTCTCTCTCGGCTAAATTTTCAAATATTTAATGGACCCTAGTGAGGGGTGTGGTCCTCTCCCTCACCTTCTTGTGAGCTCGAAGCGACGGTAGTTCAAAAAAAATCTCACAAAGGTTCTCTTCCCCAGTATAAGCGGACACTGGATGAAACCTACTCCCTCTAGGGAGAGGTGAGGTCTCAATCTCTTCAGCTTATTCCAACTGAGGAGTTGTCTCGGTGGAGCTTAATCTTGCGACCTTGGCTCTCACGGCTTTCCGAATCTTTCAACTGTAGTTTCTTTTCTATAACTTTGTTAATGGCATGTATTTGGAACTATAATCAACTTCAAATATTGACGGTGCAGAAGAAAACACATCCACATAATCCTCCTCAAACAAAATTTCCTTTCCCTTGGCGAACATAACAGTTGGCGCAACGATTGCGAATCTGGCTGCAATAGCGGTGACAATCCTCTCTAACACATGAATAATAGATTTCACAGACATGGGGGTGTCGGACTTAACGGAAGTATCCCTAGTCATAGTCCTTTTTATTGTGGGAAAATCAGTCCTTCCATTCAGGTCATATTCGACAGAGGGCTTGGCAATTTCTGGCGGGGCTATCTTCATGATCACATATGGTGCTTTTCTAAGTATAGCCTCAACCTCACTGAAGCCGATGCCAAACTGGATCATTGCTCCATGGTGGAGCACAACTTTGTCATGAGGAAGACCTCTGTCGAACGATGAAAACAACTTAGACAATGGCATTGCAATTAGTTATCTAAAAGTTCCAAAGGTTAGTTACGGCCAACACTTCGTAATTCTAGTAAAAAATACTAAAATCAATAAGGGTTGCCTCGTGAACTGGGCCATTTTTCTTTATATATATATATAATATCTATTTTTTGTTTTGAATTTTATTTATGTGTATTGTTTTTGTAATATTTTCTTTCGTTTCGATACTTTCATCTTTTTTTATATTTATTTACGGATTTTGGAGCGTGCTTTTTATATATTTGTTAACGGCGTTCGCTTAATTTCAGAATTTAAACGAAGTGTATGAGGTTAGAGATTCAAAGTGAAATTCAGGATTCGGCCTGAGGATGATTTCACAACGCACCTCGCGCACCACCACATATTTGGGATCCAACCCCACACAAAAAGAAAACCCAAAGATTCCTGAACCACTATGTATAAGGATGGTCAAATAGATGTCTATGGAACCGAGAGAGTTGACCGTGCTTGCCCTTGAAAGAAATGAGCGAAGCATGTCAACAGAAGAATAGTAATATAGATTATGAGAGACATTGACACATTACTGATGTATGAAAACAGAAACTTCATGATCATAATGGGGAGTAAAGCTCATCCCCAACGGAGTCTCTAAAAATTATCGTTCGATAAAAATTCTCCTAGAAAAATATAAAAAATATGATTTTGATTTAAATTTCATATATATATATATATATATAT